TACACATATCTCATAGTGTACTCTCACGAAATAAAAATGATCAAATATTTTTCATTTATTTTACGTTTAAGCTATATATTTTTTTTTCTTCGTTTTCTTCTTCTTCATCCTCATCTTCTGCATCTTCATCTACTACTCTCCATCACGTCAACAGGCAGCTACATCTTATCACATGTTTTCCTTCCAACTCGACAACAAAAATTTTCTTTTTATTTTTTCCATCCAATTTAAAATTAAAAAATTCTCTCCTTTTCCTCTTCATCGTCTTGTTCTTGCTATCCCTCAAGCAGGCAGCTGTGAGTGAGTGTCATTTACACAACATGACCTTTTACATATGTTGCCATTTACTTTTTTTTTATTTCAACTCAAGATGTAGATAATGAGAGACTAAAAAAGACAGAAAGTCACAACGAGAGAAAGAGAGAGATAGAGAGAGAGAGAGGAAGAGGGAGAATGAGTAAGTCGTTTTACAATTTGTTTGATTATTTTAAGAGGAAATTGAAAGAAAAACGAATGTATTTGATGCAACTCTCATCCGAACTCATGTGAACGATGTGTCAAGAGAATGTTCGTGAACGAAAGAAGAGATAAGGAAGAGCTTTTCGACTTCTTCATGCTTATCCTTCTCATTTCCAATTCGTTTCTTTCTCCTCTTCTTCTTCTATTTTTGAAAATCGAGAGTATAGAAGAGAAAGAAGAAGAACAAGAAGAAGAGAAAGTAGAATTATTTAATTCATAGTATTAAACATATAGCAACCGTTCTGTATTGATTCAAACTTCAAAATGATATTTGCTTGAGGCATTTGTTGACGTGAAATTTTCACGTGAGTGTTCCTTCCAGTCTGTTTATGCTAATTTCAACTGAAAATAGCATGGATAAAGATTTTTTTATAACATATTCTTGTTTAAAATGCCACAACTGTGAGACAAATCCAACTACAACTTGAGCAGTTTTGAAGACGAAGAAGAAGAGAGCCGAAGAAAGGAACAGCTCAAAGAAATCTGCTTCATGTCTCATAAACACACGAATTATCATAATGTTTATAAAACAATCTTCAAAAAAGGAAGAATGACGTAAAAAAAAAATTTTTTTCTCCTCCTGTCATCGCCTCTTTCTAAGCCCAAAGAAGGCGAAGAACATGCCATCAATTTGAGCTTTTCCTTTGTCTATTCTTCTGGTGTAGCTAAGAAATGAAAATATTGTATTTATTTCACTTTTAATATCCAATTAAAAGATTAAAATGAGATTGATTTCCTCACTTTGTTCTTTCAATCTTTATAAAATGAAACCAACAGCAACAAGGCTTTAAGCATGGATACTGCTGTGCCCATCGTTTCTCACATTCTCTTTATCCATCTCATTCTCTCTGTCTATCCCTCTCTGTATCTCTCTCCTCTATTTTTCATATATTTTGTTAATGTCTCTTTCTGGTTTCTATAAAATTCTTCTGCTCTCTTACCAAGTGAGCTTGTTCTCTCCAGTTTCAAGCAACTCTTCACATGCTCACAATGTCCATTTGTTCTCTCATAGCATTACTATCTCATGTGATCTCTCTCACATTTCAAAAATCTCTCGTAAGTCATCTCATTTTCTCTGTGTTGTCTCTTCTTCAATCAAATATATTTCTGTCGTGCTATTTTTCTTTTTTCTCTCTAATTTATCTTTTTTCTTTCTTTCTTTTTTTTTTTCCATTTTCTACTCATAGCCACTGCTTCCTCTCTTTTGTCACAAAAAGAAAGAATACATCTCTCTCTCATCTACCACCATCATCCACATTCAGCTCCATAACTGCGGTCTTTGCCTTCATCATATTTCAAACAATTTCCTTAAGAACAGAAAAAAAACAATTTTTATTTTCATAAATCTACATAAATATTTTCATTTTATCAACTCTCTCCTTCTCTCTCTCTCTCTCTGTACTTCTATTTCTCTCTCCCTTGTGTGCATATTCTCACACTCTTTCTCTCTCTCTAGTCCTTTCTCTTTTTCTTTTTTTTTAATTCTTTTCCTCCAGTTTTCATACACATTTTACTCTCATTGACGTTTAACATTTGCCTTCAAATTCATGAGCTTATTTGCAAACTTTGCCAATCCATCTCATCAACACGTTTTAGCCTCAGGCTAGTTTTAAGCTATTCATCTCTCTTGGGTATTCCTTTACTAGTCCTAGTTTAAGCTTAAATATCAGTTTGTGTGATGATATGTCTTGTTTTTCATAAAGGAAGTATTCCTTCTCTAATTTCCCTTTTTTTTTTGTTGGAATTTTTGATTGAGTACACAAGCATCTTGAATTTCCTGTAAACTGTTGTGAATTTTGTGCTCTTGTCCCATCTCTTGACGTCTTCATTGTGGGAAACGTGCTAAAAATCTTTTTTTTGTTCTCTTCTTCTCATCTTCTTCCTCTCTCCTTTTTTTTATTTTCTCTTTGTCACAAGTGAGTTTGTCTCATCTTATGTGAACGGCTATGTTTTCATCTTCCGAGTTTTACAAGTGAAACGTATGATGTTCTCGCTTTCTCCTTCGCATATTCTCCTGTATATGTAATGAGCTTTGATGTATTACAGTTATTGCCATATATAGAGATTGCGCAATGACTGATAACATTTGCAAATCTTGACACCATCATCCATTCCTTTTTCTTTCCTAAAAATTTCTTGGGGAATTCTAACACTCGCATTGTTTGTTCTTGTATGGGCAGCTCAAGAAACTGATTTCTCACATGGATTTGATTATCCTAGACATTGTACATGAAGTTTTGAAATCAAAGACACAAAAAAAGAAAAAGATTTAAAAATAGAACAGAGATTGACTATGAAAACGAACAAGTCGGAAAAAAATGTAAAAGGAGTTTCAGAAGAGAACAGAGAGAAAGAGAGGGAGAGAGAGGGAGGAAAAGGAGAGAGAATGAGGAAAAATAAGGTGCAACAGCTGGAGTTTAGTTCACTCGAATCGCATTTCCAAACAGCCCCATAGAAAGTGGTTTATTTTCTTTTTCTTTCTTTTTTCCGTGTTTTTCTGTGTTCACATGCCCTGTCTTATCTCTCTTTTTTTGTGGGCTGAATGATGAAGCTTTGAAACACATAATAATCAGCTTTAAACTACATCATTTCGTTCATTTCCTCATAAATTGAACTTAAATTCGAACGAAAATCTATCAGTCGTCTCCAACTGGATCATTTCTATTGCAAAAGGCAGCTGTGCATCTTTTGCCTTTGCAGTTTCAACGTGGTTTTTTGATTCTTTTCAGAGAGAGAGAGAGAGGGGGGGGGGAGGAAGAAGGAGAGGAGGTGGTGAAAGAGAAGGAGGAAGGAGAAAAGGGGAATTTCTGTCCTTTCTCTTCTTCAAATCTATTCTCGAATTTTCTCACTTTTATCCTTCCGTTGTGCTAAGTGTGAACGACAAATTTGTGATGAAAAATGTCTTTTTTTTCATTTTTTTTCTGAATCAAGCACGCCCAGACACAGTCTGCTCTCGTTCATGTGTAATGATGAAAAACGAAATGTTTTAATTTACAAATAATTCTTGGAAACAGATTACATCTGACCTTAGTACAGGGACTTTCGTTATACTTAAGGGATTGCATGTACGCAAAAACGCTTTTTTTTTTCTTTTTTTATAATGTCACATAGCGCCATTGCCAGACTTCCCTTTATCTCCATCTATCTATCTCGAGCACTTTCTTTTTATCCATCTTTCCCCTTCTCTCTCTCTCTCTCTGTCTATCCTTATATTCTCCCTCTCTTTCTCTCTGTATTTCATTTTGTGGCTCCCTCTCAATCGTTTTACCCTCTGTTAACTATTCGCATCTTCTAATAAACTTTGTGATGAAATGATTCCCCTGTTATCTTTTTCCCATTACAACATCGCGTGAGAACGAAACTTCGTCATTTTCCTCTTAGCTTCTCACACTATCTGAAATCATTTATCCGCCATATTCTATTCATTTACATGAGGTATCATCTCCTTCATTTATTCATTATTTTTGCCTTCAAAGTTCCATGAAGAGCCACATCCTTCATTCCTTTTTTGACCTTTTCCTCTCCTTTTTTTTTCTTTTTTTCGGTTGAATTTACGAGTCACATACACATATACCATAGATAGAGAGAGAGAAAAAAAAGAAAGAAAGAGGAAGATGAAGAGAGAGATAGAGAGAGAGACTCACTCACACAAATTTCATTTTATGTTTCTTCAGCCAAAAGTTATCCGTTTTCTCGGCTCTTTGTATTTTTTTTTTATTTTCTAAAATGCTTAAATAGAATCATGGCTTCATCCACCTTTTATGGCATTCGTTGGCTTCAATTCGATTCTCTTTCTTGTTCCTCATCATATCTCATTCTCTAATGCTCCTGACGTGCATTTACCTGTACATTTGGCAATAGAGATAATCCCACAGATCCCATTCTGCTATTCATTCACATACACTAAGCTTTCTCGTGGTTCTCACTGTCTTCATTGAAATTATATTTTTCTTCATTCATCTGTCTCCTCTTCCATATTCCATCAATTGCAGCTTCAAATCCATATTTTCAATCAAATAAGCAAAGATTTTTTTAAATTTCAATTTCACCACAATATCATTCAATTTCCTTTCTAACCTTGTGAATTCTGTTAACCAGAAGACACAACGATGAGGTGAATGAAGCCAGAGGAAGGAGAAGATGAAAAAAAAAGTAAAAAATTCAATGAAAATCCTTTACTATTACATTACACCATTTAATGTTTTCTTTTTCGTTTTCTACATTAATTGAAATAAAAGTTTCATACGAAAATACATTCGTTTCTTTTTTCTTTTTTCTCTCCGAACGTTGATATCTTATTTGCAGGTTCCAACATCTTCGATAGACGGCAGAGACGAGCTTTGTCTCCTGTCCCTATATCAGCTCTTCTGGAATTATCATAAATGGGATAGATCAGCATTGCTTTCGTTATAGGTTTCATATTAACTTCCTTGATTGTTATTTACTAACACTGTTACCCCTTAGGCGATATTCATTCAATCATGACATCCACGGAGCACACAATGATCGTCAGCGGCATCGAAATACCATCACTTAACTTACCAGATGACAAGTGAGTTCATACGTAACCACCCTCTGAAACGCAAAAAAAAAATGCAAAAAATGAATGCGACAGCTCTGTAAGCGTCAACTACAAATGAATAAACTCGCATCATACCCATTCATGCATCACGTGACGTGTATTACGTCAATTTCCCACGTGTAATTCAAATGGCACAACCAACATAATGCTTTAACTATCAAGTAACATGTCACGTAGAAGCACTTATGTACGTAGTAGTTCTCCTCAATGTAAATCATGCAAATCGATTTTCACGAAAAATATTTTCAAATAACCTTGTAATATTGAAATGTTTTTTGATTGATTTTCAAGTTTGAACGTTAATGTAGTGTTGTAGAATGCGACAGTCTGTGTTGCATTGACTGAAAGAGCATGTTCAAAGCTTAATCCTCATAAAACTTTATGAACTTTTTTTTTACAAACTAAGATATCACATATGCAAATAAGTAGTAATTTGTGTCTTTTGCTTTCTTATCAGCACTCATGTGCTCTATTACATCTTTTAAAATTATTTTTTCTTCATCTTTCTCCTATTTCTAATTTCCTAAATGGTTTTAAAGCATTTCCGGTTAACCATGAATATGAGAGATGAAGCCAAATGAATATTATTTCAGCTGTTTATCGGCAGAAAATCAAACGTTATCTCATAGTCCAAGTGAACCGTGGATTTTTGCTCCAATCGCTGTTACAATTCAGAAGATGACAATGAAAAAGCCACCTCAGCTTCATGAAACCAATGAGACGAAAACAGCTTTCTTCTTTCAGGTAATAGTTGATGACATAACAAAATGCATACATATTGCTTGTTATTATGTATTTTTAAAACATACATTCTTCGTGTTTGAAGACATTGCTGCCATTCTTGGCTGCTGGATTGGGATTAATAGCTGCTGGCCTTTTGTTGGAAAAAGCTGAGACTATGAGGTTTTTTACGACAATTCCGGATGTCGTCACATTGGTTCCAACACTCTTGGGCTTAAAAGGGAATTTGGAGATGACATTGGGATCTCGCTTATCAACATTAGTAATCCATATCATACAACAACGCAAAGCATAATCATATACGTCATTCAGGCTAATCTCGGGTTTATGGATACAGGTTCACAAAAATTTTCTGTTGCTGTTTCAAATTTGGCTTTAATCCAATGTCAAGCCATAATGGTATCATCTCTTTCCGTATTGCCAGCTGCTTTATTTGGAGAGAAACAAGTAATAGAATATATGAAAGCTGAAGAAGCTTACTTCTACTCAATTTCAGTTCAATGTTCATGATTTCACCTGTTTATTGCTATCGACAGTTGCAACTGCAGCTATAGCAGCCTTTCTTCTGGGAACAATAATGATTCTGGTTGTGATTATATCCAAAAAATACAAAGTAAACACTTTTCCATACTTAGAGAGGGAAGAAGGAAAATTTTTTTTTCTTTCTCTCATGTTTTCATTGTATTCAACTTTGGGCAATGAAATATCTGATTTCAGATAAATCCTGATAATATTGTGACACCGGTAGCTGCTACACTTGGTGATGTCGTCACGCTGGGAATACTGGTAACTTAAGATTCGTAAAAGTAATAAAAGGTGTTTTTATTTCAGCTTCTCGTTGGAACTTTTTTTTTAGACATTCGACATGACTATCTATGGCTTCTGCTTTTCCTTTTATTTGTTTTTTATGTGATTGCTGGCTTGAGTGCTTATCGGGCTTCCCAAGATCAATTTACCACTGAAGTAAATAGTATTAATTTATAATTTTAATTTTATTTTTACTTTAGGTTTTGAGACATGGCTGGTGGGCTGTGTTTGCTGCTATGCTTATTACGCTTGGCAGTGGTTTCGTTTTGAAATCGTCCATGCACAAGTATCCTCCGATTGCAGCTTTCCAGCCTTTGGTTAATGGTACATTGAACATATTGTCTAAATAAGGAAGAGGGAAACATTTAATTAATTGAAGGAGTGGGTGGAAACTTGGTCGGCGTACAGGCTAGTCGTATTAGCACAGGCTTACATCGTGCAAGAAAGAATAAATCGAAAGAGACGAGCAGTCTATGGGTTCATGCTAGTTGCTGGCATGCATTCGTTCAAAACAGTAATGATGTTCAGAAAACAGATATTCACTCACATTCACCATTGCAGATGAAGATTCGATCACATCCAGAATATTGATAGCAATCTCTGTTCCTGGAAATTTTTTGTTCATCACAATCATTTTCCTTATTGGCTGTGGTTTTGACAACAATGTTCCGTTCACAGTCCTTTTCCTATTGGTTGGATTAATTCAAGTGAGAATTCAAACATCTCATACGTTTTCATTTTATTACATTTAAGGTTATATTCTTGCTTTATCTATGTCAATTTCTTGTACGTGCTATGTGGAAAATGCGTATTGATCCGGATAATTCAGCAATTCCCATACTAACAGCAATCGGTGATCTGATTGGAGCAACCTTACTTATAACTTCTTTTACAATTCTTGTTAACTATTTTAAAATGGACATACCAACAGTTGATAATCATTAATTATCATCATCTTTCATTCATTCCTATTTTGTAAATTCCTTTTTTGGAGGTCATTTTTCCAAAAATGGAAAAGAGAACTGAGGACGTCGCACCGCCCTCAGAAAGAAAGACTGTCATTCTGAATCGATATATGTATGACTGTGTCTATTTTTGAATTTCCATTCTGTTCCCATCCAAATCTCATATTTCTATTCATAAATTAATGTAACAGACAAATTGTCTAAGAGAAAATATGTTTTCTCTCCGCCATCATATCCTTCCTTCTAAATTATTTTTTTTCTGTGTTCATTATTATTGTCATCAAGCAGCATTCCTAGTGTCTTTTAGACTTCTCCTTCTTTCCAACATCTTTCTACTGACCTCCTCCTCACTTCATTCAACGCAATTGTATTTCTTTGAACATGCATTCGAACTTCTACCATGTCGATTTGAAACGGGAATCCTCTTCATATATTTTAATAATAATAAAAACAAAGTATTCAGCTTAATCATTTTTTTTTCGTTTTATGGGTTAATGATGCAAGAAGCGAATCCCTATGTAGTATGACAGTTTAGTTCACAATGGCTTCCAATGCGATTCTCGAAGTTATTTTGGGAATTTCAAAAAACTATTAGATCGTTGCGTCAAACTATCTTACCAGAGGCGAGGATGAGAGAATAGAAATGGTTAGATACGATATAATACTTCATAAACGGTGAGAGAGTAACAAAAAGAGATAGAGAGACAGAACGGCTGATGAAGAGAGACAGAAGAGAGATGTTATCTGAAGTTTCTTGTCGCTTGAAGCAAACGTGATGTCCAAATGTGAAAATTTGTCTTTTTTGATGATGCAGTGGTGGAAGAATAATCAAATCAGTTCTTTATTTTTATCATTTCCGGTAGCTCTTTATAGTTGGTTAAGAGAGAAACAGGTTGATCGTTGATATGATCAATCAGAGTGAAAAGAAGGGATAGAGGAAGAACAACTGAAAGTTCAAACATGTGATGATCATCTTCTGTCTCTTCTTCTTCTTCTTTTTTTATCCACCCAATTATGTACGTTTCTTGTTCTGCCCTTAGTGGATTAGTTTCATAATTTTCTTTGGGAAAAAAATTATTTTCATAATTCCTTTATTCAAATGTAGTTAGACAGTCACATTTCGTTGTTAGTCTTGCCATATACAGCACCCTCTCGCCTTCTTCAACCACTATGTACCCGTTTTTACACTAAAAAAGTTGTTGAACTTCCTCTCTTCAACTTTAATATTTCATTCAATGCTTCATTGATCAGTTGAACGTTCAGAGATTCAATTTTTAATTCATTTAATCGTATTAAGGTAATATGGATTCCGAAAACTTACTGACGGATGCTGATCCTCAGGAGCAAGTTAGGGCTCAACCACCACCTCCTCCGAAGAAAGGTGTTTATAGTGATGAACGACGATTAGCTGGAGAAACATGGCTTGAATTTGCATACAGTAATAATATTTTTGATAAATTGATATGATTACATACGAAGAGCTTCTTTAAGGACATTATTATAACTTTATGCACTTTTTCTTCGAAGATTGGTTTATGAGTGCTGCATTGGCTTTGATAACTGTTTTCATATCCATATTCATGGATGTATTCTTAGAATATATTCTTCATTGTAAGAACTATATATGGTCTCATATGGATAGAAGTAGCAAATCATTTTCAGTTCGCCGGATGTTTTATGAATTTGGAAAACAATTCAATGATCCTGTTGCTTGTGTTTGTTGGGTATCATTCATGACAGCAGCAGTATGGTTCGCATCTAGCTTTTGTTACTTAGTTTCTAAACAAGCTGTTGGTAATTTGCATATTTCAATGTCCGCATGAGTAATGTGTTATTCAAGGATCGGGTATTCCTGAAATGAAAGTTATCATTCAAGGATTTAAATTGAAAAACTATCTATCATTGAGAACATGCATAGCCAAAATTGTTGGTTTAACTGTTGCTCTGGGTGCGGGTATGCCGACGGGAAAGGAGGTTTCTTTCACAATTTTTTTATTTGACAAACATCGGAAAACTGCTTTTAGGGTCCATTTGTACACATTGGTGCTATTGTAGCAGAGTTATTAAGAAAAGCAACAAGAGATTGCCATTTCAATGATTTCTTCACAAACGAAGGACGTAAATTGGAACTGCTGAGTACAGGATGTGCTGTAGGAATAGCGTGTACCTTCTCATCTCCTGCTGGAGGTAGAACAAGAGTAAATGAAAATATGAATATAAACGTTTTGAAGCTGTATTGTATGGAATTGAGTCTACTTCAAAGTATTTTGCCGTCAAGAACTATTGGAGACAGTTCTTCGCAACTACATGTGCAGCTTTAATCTTCCGTTTTGCTATCAACACCATGGTCCCAACTCACATGGGTAACCAAATATCTATTATCATACTAATGATCTAAATTTCAGTTGGAACAATCGTAGCATACTATCAAACAAGTTTCCCCAATGAGGTTTTTGTCATTGAGGAGTTACCGTTATTCGTATTAATCGGAATTGTCTCCGGGTTAGCAGGAGCTTTATGGATCTGGCTTCATCGTCGGATTGCTTTATTTAGAAAGAAAAACAAGCTTTATTCATCTATTTTTGGAGGACGGTTGGGAAAAGAAGAGATTTTAAGTATACCTTAGCATCTTTCAGACCTATCTTATTTACTGTTGCTATGGCAGCTTTATTCAGTTTGTTGACTTTCCCTGATTGGTCAGGAAAATACATAGCTGGACAGGTACAGTGATAATGACATTCATAGCTGAGTCATCAATTCTAGTACGTATTCCGTGAAACATTAGCCGACTTCATTTCCAATTGTACCTTTTCGGTGTCCAACAGTAGCATCGGCTGCCCGGAATCTATTTTGTCTCATTGGACAACAGGAACAGAAAACCCCTTGTACAGTGTTGCCATTTATGGAATCTCATATGTAGTTTACGTTTTCGATTATTTATCTGATTATTAATATTTCAAGTATTTGATACTAACTTTATTCGTCTCTTTGTACTATCCAGCTGGTATTTTTGTTCCTGCGTTTGTTGTTGGAGCAAGTGGAGGACGTATTCTCGGAGAAGTAAGTGCAATATGCCATTTCATCAGAAAAATCAAAACATTTTCAGATAATTGCTAATATTTTCCCTGAAGGCATAAGAGGTCTTGACGGCCCACTCATATATCCCGGCCTATATGCTGTCGTCGGTAAGAATTTAAATAACATTGAATGTGATCTTACATATAAAGTTCACGTGAGTGTTACGTCAAGTAGAATGACGTTTGATGGATTCATTTGACAATTATACTGACATAGCAATCGGTTGTTGAACAATCGGCTCCATATCATATCCGAAAACTATTTTTAATTTTGAAGGAGCTGCTTCATTCACGGGATCTGTAACTCGTTCATTATCAGTAGCGTTGATTGTATGTGAGACAACCGGTCAACTATGCGGGCTATTACCTGTCTTGGTGAGAGAGTTCACAGAAATGCAATATAGTTAAGCTAACTTATACAGATTGCTCTAATGGTAGGAAATGCTATAGCTAGCTTCTTACAGCCATCATTCTATGAAAGTTTAATCACAATCAATAATTATCCATACTTAACGGAATTGCCACCTAGTAGAATCAGGTTTGATTGAAGAATCGTTTCAACTACAATCTCAACAATCTATTTATAGTGTTCATACAATGAAAGTAGAGAATGTTATGGTTCGAAATGTTATTTATATCTCTAGCGATATGACATATAGAGATTTACATGAATTACTATTGAGAACGCCTTATCTCCGAGCATATCCAGTTGTAACTGATAGATGTGAGTTCATTGAATTGTCCAAATCGATTTTCATTTATGAACGTTATAGATTCAATGCATTTATTGGGAAGTGTTGGAAGAAAATATTTGTCTTATCTACTACATTCCAAGTTTGGTGAAAATCCATCATTTTCAAAAAAACGACCATCAGTTTCCGAGACATTCATGACGTTAAGCAGGTAAGCGTTCCTGTTCGTAATCTCTTCATCTTCACCTATGATCTGATAGAAGACGAGCCGAACAAATGGAAAGAAATATGACTCAAGGCAGCTTGATGGCAGATAGAGGAAACTCCTTGCTAGCAACATCACCTCTTCATGAAGATGGTGTTTCAATGCCCTTCAGACAAGAAGTTCCTGAGACGGTGAGAGAAGCTAATAACTTTTAAAAGATAATAAACATCACCATGTAGTTTGGTAGATAGAAGTTCATTATCAGCATCTCCCATGCTCAAAAATACGAAAAACTTGAACCCTTAGTGATCATATAGAAATATTTCAAAATGTTCTTTCGCAATTGTATATTTCAGTTAGATGTTAGCCATCATGCATCCGTATTGGCTGGAAAAATAAATATAGATGAGTTCGCGATTGATTCAGCACCATTCCAGCTGATTCGCAACACATCACTCTACAAGGTAATAAAAAAGTTAATGAGAAGTAGCGGAAAAAAAAAGTTTTCTAGGTTCACACCTTATTCTCGTTGCTGGCCTTGAATCACGCATACGTGACTGAAAGAGGTCGACTAGTTGGAGTTGTGTCTGTGAAAGAGTTGCGAGAAACTTTGAATCACATTTATCTGAAGGGAGTAATACCATTAGATCGTTTACAACAAAATCATAATCGAGCAACAGATGAAACTACAGCCAGGTAAGAGCATCACAGATCATCATGTTCATTGATTATTATCATTAATTATAGAGAATCAGAAACACGCATTCTCATGGAGTCACATTCATAATAGAATGTTAGAAGAAGGAAAGAAAAAGCTTTACTGTGATATAAACTAAATGTATAATAACAATCGTAGATGTGTGGGGTTGTGAATAAAAAATATATTTTATTATTATTATTATTATTATTATTATCTTAAATGCAAGAGCAGATCGCCTTCTTCATCCCCATCAGCGCTGTAATCACAATGCACGAATGCTCGTTCTACGAATGGCAATCTCATCAGCTTTCTTTCTAGTGGATGTGAAATATCATGTGTAACCTAATTATAATAATTATAATATAATCTAAATATATATAAATTACTTTTAATGGAGCACTCTCATCCATAATTATGTGAAGTTCAACTAAGGTATCAGAGCCTGTATGATAAACCATCACATAGTCAATACCTCTGCAAAAAATTATATTATAATTATAATAAAATAGATAAGAAGATGATCTACCTTATTCTGTCATCATGATCTACAGCTATTTTGAGAATTCGACTCAAAATTTCCTTATCAGCCCTAATTCCAACTAATTGTGGAACATTTTCCAAAGCATGTCGGAACCAACTGATTGATATTAAGCCGCTGAAAAAAAAAGGAAAATTCAGATAATCACTCAATCACTGTATTATAATCCTCTTAATTGTATTATTATTATAATAAAAAAGAAGAAATATTATGTTCACAAACCAAACTATAATAGCACCACATGGATCAGCATACGACCAGTAATTAGCTCCAACGAATGCACATGCTGTTGCCATTAATGCTGTAGCTACGTCATTTCGCATATCCAATGCCAATACCTTCAATATGATAGTATCATCATTAGTTTGTATAGCCTTTTAGAGACCATAGATGCTGGTGTGCCTCGTCTATAGCACAATACTAACAGAATTGTCTTGGCTAGTGATCCTGATAGCATAATTATGATAATTGTCAAATCGACATCCGTTTTTATCTGAAATTGAATAAAAAAATATTTCAAAAATAAAAAAATAAATTGAAGATTGAAATATTACATTTCCTTTAGCAATTTTTAGAACTGCAGATAAAAATAAAACTATGTTACTGAATCCCATAATTACAGAGCAAATCATGACTCCCACCAATTCTAATCTTAAATATGATTCTTGCAACAACTGCTCATTAGCATAGTTCTACTCACTTAGCTCTTCCTCGTGGGTAGTGATAGAAGTTTGTACGATTTATCAAGCTTAAACATAGTGCCATAATTGCACTGCTAGTGATATCCATAAATGCATCAACGAACGCACTAAATTTCATAGATGAGCATGGAGAGGTGAGAAAGATAAACAAAACCTGATAATAGATAATGATCCAGAATATATTGATGCAAACAAGTTGACACATAACAATATGAGATTTAAGCCAATTGATAGCTTTGCGAGAATCTCATCTGGACGTCTTCCTCTCTACAACCATACAGTAGAGTTTGTTTTGTTTTTGTCTGAGAATCTTTCGGACCTTATCTTCAACTTGCAGCTGGCCAACTACCAACAACTGATCTGTTTTATAGTGTTCCTCTAACTGTTCGCGTTCCTCATTATACTAAACAAGATGCTTGCTGATAATGAGATTGAGAGAGAGTGAACAACCTTCCTAAGAAGTGCAGCTCTCTTCCGTCGGGTGAAGTAATCAACTTTTCCTGATGATGTCTGCTGAACGATTGAATTCAAGCTAACCATGTCACCTAGTAAGGGCTCCTTTTCGCTCATCAACGTGTTACCTTAATTAGCATAATATAGCTTGTAAGCATTTTTTTCAACAAAAAAAAAGGCGGTATTGAAGTATAATAAATAGAAAATGAGATCGAATGCTTGAAATCATTTTATGTTGTCACCATCACCTTCTTCTCTTTTGGTCAACCTCCACCTCTCTCATTCTCTCTCTCTGCTCCTGTTACTCTTTCTTTCTCTCTCTTTATCTCTTTGCTCCTCTCACTCTCCCTCATTCTCATTCTCTGTATACATGGTTCTGTTCCTCCTCCCAATACTGATTACCTTCTTAGATGATAACATCCTATCTTATCTTATGAAAACAGTAGTGCACAATTTTTATTTTCTAACAAATTCTTTATTAAATATTTATGGAAACATTCGTTTTTATCATCTACAACTTGTGAGTCTTCATCAATACAAATTACATTCTGCTTCTATGTCATACATCAACGACATCTTCATGTTTTTTCGAAGTTTGCATATATGAAATGAAAAGCAAATAGCTCGAGCGAAGTTCACGTACAGTTCATGAAGAGTCCACGTGAAATCGACGTGTAAACTTTGATTTTTCATTTTTACAATACGCTGACGCTACAAAACGGTTGGTCGGTCGTCTTTTGGCAATGAAAATATTCTTCTTTCATCTTCTTTTTTTGAAATTTATAACAAGGGGAGAGATTCGTACATAATAAAAGTAACAATTGTAATGAAGATGGCTTTGCTTCAATTCATTTTTTGTGTAATTTCTTTGAAAAAGGACAATTTCGTCAACAAAACTAGCTTTGAATCTCTTTAATTAATAAAGTATTTATTGCTTTTTCAAATGGATAGTCAAAGAAGAATAAAGAGGGAAAGAGAGAGAGACAAAGAGAGGAAGAGAGAGGGAGAAGGAGGGATGGTATGTACGTATGTATTTCTTCTGTCTGTATGATGATAATGAACTATAAATATATTGAAAAAAATGGTTTATTTGAATGAAATTATAAAATATTTAGTTTCCTAACAACATACAATTCTGCTAATAAGGCTGATGAGAACTTGTCTGGAAAGGTACATGTTAATCTTCGTTCAAATTGACAATCAACTTGAATGAGGAAATACAAACTTACTTTGAACGTATGAGCTATGCGGACTTTGCTGGAAACACAGATAGGTTGAAGAATCCATGGTTGGAAAATCATTGTTAAAACCCTATGAAATATCATATTATTTCATAGAAATTGTAAAAAGCTGATAAATACCCGTCTAATACGTGAACCAATGTTCCTGAGAGAGTGAAACAGAAGAAGGACCACATGATGTTATCAAACAAGTCAAATAAATTATTCATAAAAATCATGTCCATGATGAATAGAAGATCTTGCAACACTGCCTGGAGAAGATGAAGAGGAATAACAGTAAACATGTTGTTTGAGATGCTTACCTGAATGAATAGACGGCTGTTTTTCCGGATTGACTCTTGTACCGATCCATTTTGAACAGTCTAAATCAAAGATGAATGAAGTTTGAACAGAATGACGTGATGAGATTCTTACAAAGAAGATCACAACTCGAACGAAAGTCGGTGTGTTGAGTATTAAGCTTGCAGTTAAGCAAACTAAGCTATAATTGAATGGAAGCAAGGTGGTCCAAGCTTCGCATCCTGCAGGTGTATCATTAAACAATCTCCAAGCCATACTTCTGCCATCATATACAAACATGCATTCATCTTGAAAAATCATGACTAAGAAAAATAGCAGAAAAAGGAAATTACATGCTGTATGATATATCATGTTGATAGTTCTCTCTATAAATCCAATTGACAACATACACAAAGTTACTTTTGGTTTAAATATTCGACCATAATACGTTGGAAGGAAAATAGCAACAAATCGATTTGAAGCCAAAATCACATTAGCATATTCCAAATAAATATAAAGATTATTTTGTATACCCGAGACGGTATCATTTACACGCAAATTTGCATAAATGTAATTTCTTAAAGCAAAGCAGAAAGTATTTGAAATATTATTTTAAAGAAAACCCAAATGTCATTGGTGCTTGGAAGAAGAGGTATGATGAGCATATATAGAAATTGACAGCACATTTACAGACGCATATTATATTGAATGGAGATAGCTTAGATGTTGATCGGAATGTAGAGTAGATGATTGTTCCTGTGACTAGGAGTCCAATTGTTGGGAACTGATCGAGCCTATTTTAATTTTTAATGAAAAATCGTACTTACCAGAACATGCAAAAATCCACAGACTATCCGTATAGCTGGGGTAATTCTCATTATTTCATCGTCATCTTCTGATGTGTCAGTTATCATTTTCCTATAGGATCTTTTTTATGAAGGTTTAACGACGACAAAAACTGAAAATTGAATGAATCAGTACAGGAAGGACACAAGAGCTAGACAAGGAAGAGGAAACTGCCCAGAGTGAGGAGCAGCCATGTGTTTGAATTGTTTTTTCGTTGAAAATTTCAGTTTTCCCAAACCTCTCATTATGGAAGAGTCATGAGAGATAATCATACTGTATTCAAATCTCTCTCAATACTCTAATTAAATCATTCTTGCTATAAGAAAGTCAACAATCGTTCAATCAAAACATTTTTTTAATCAAAACAAGTAAATGATTCATATCAAAACAGTTCTGAACCGAAAGGATTGTGATATCATCAAAAATCTCTGATGCCGGCGAACAGTTCGCATAATTGGCATCAAAACGGAAAGAACTTAGAAAATTCTAAAATTTCGAATAAAAAATAAAATATAATAGGCTATGACTACATAGAGGGTTAGAGAGAGAGAGAGAGAGAGAGAGAGAGAGAGAAAAAGAGAGAGAGAGAGAGAGACATTCAGATGAAGGGAGACAAAAAATTCGCCGAAAAAATTGTAAAAAAATGAATGTGTGTGGGCGTTAGAACTTCATTTATCAAACAGTACCGGGTAGTATGGATCTGTTACCAGACTAAAAAAAGGATCAAAGGATGAGTACACGGTTTGAAGATCTTACTGGAGTGTGTTGCGAAGGGGAGGGCTTATGCGCATTTGGCTGCCATACTATCGTGATAGCTCTATAAGATGTAGAACAAAAAAATTTGAATAGCTAATGTGGACTTGCCCATCCATTACATGAACTAATTGGCCAACTAGAGTGTAAGAGATGAAAGCCAGCATGGGATGATCAGTTGGCAAAATGAAATTATTCATAAACAACAAGTCAATTACAAATAGACAGTCTTGAGCAAATGTCTTAAAAGATAAAATCAGTCATTGAAAAAACTCTTGTTGTTAGTCTGAATGTGTATAAGAGAGAAAGAGATGAAGAAAGCTACCTGGAGGAAAAGTTTACAATTCTTGCTTATTGCCTCATTGTGCGAATCGAATTGAGTAAGCTGGAAAAACAGTAAATAGAGTCTATGATACAAAGCAGGAGTTACATAGAAGTATATAACTTTGGCACAAGTTGTGATATTCAGTATAATACTGATTATTAGTATTAGCACACTGTAGTTCAGTACATTCTCAAAAGTGACTAGTTTCTCACATCCTGGAGGATATTGAATGAATTTCCATGTCATCCCTATGCCATCGTATATAAGAGAGCAATCATCTGCAATAAAGGATAATTGTTTTTTTCTGTCTTCATCTCATTTTAAGATTATTTCCAGTATAATGATTTTAGCTTACAGAGTGTGTGTTGAACCGCAGCAACTAATCGTTCTAAGACCAGAAGAGTCACAAGAATCTGAAAGGGAATACCTATGATGTGAGACGACCAAATACATCTACTTACCTTTACAAGCTTCACACCATTTATGGTGCTGAAACGTTTGGGAAAATAAATGGCAAAGAAGCGATTAGCTGCAATCATGAGGGCAACGTATTCGAGGAAAACATATAAGTTATTTTGAACAGCTGATATGAAGTCATTGGCCTTTATATTTGCATAAGTGAAGTTTCTGAGAGAAAAAACGATTTTATATTATTTACGTTTTGTTTTGCAACAACCCCAATGTCATAGGAGCCTGGAATATCAGGTACTGCCCACATATATAGAAGTTCGTGATGCATTTTGTTAAGCAGAGTATTTTGAACGTAGTCAAGTTCTTACCAGAAGAACGATTGAAGTAGAATACGTAAGCATTGATGAGCATTCCACTGGCGGATGCCTGAATATCAAAATGTTTTTTTTCCGTTTCAAACAATTAGCCTAAGTTCTACCAGAATTTGTAATGATCCAGCGAATGAACGCACTTCTGGACTGATTTCCATAGATCTCTCTGTCTGAGAGCCATTACTCATTCTTGGAGTGTAGTCTCGTACCACCTATTACAAGCTCAAAGTTATAAATTCTAACATATTCTTTGTATTCTAATGAGCAAAACAAAACAGTAATGTAAACAAATAGATAAAATAAAAAAGTGAGAAATTGGAGATCAAAGAGTATTTTTGACGAAGAAATGAGAGAGAAATGGCTTTGATATAATAATTAGGTGAGCTGTGACGTCTCTTCAGCTTTTTTGTCTTTCTCTCTACTCTGCTCTATACATCCTCTCCATCAAGCTTTTCTATCTCTCACTATTTTCTAATTTGATTAAACAATATGATATGATCGACTTAATTTGCCATCTTTACTCTCACCTTTTCTCAAAACGCAAAATTCGTTTCTTATGAACGATTCTAATGTATCGCAAACTGTCACGAAATGAATATTTGAATTCATAAGTATATCACGCTATACCTAAAAGGTAACAGATGTCAGGAAGCCTATATAAGCTTCACCAGGCTCACCAGTGTCATCTATACTCTCGTCACAGATGTCTTCCCCTACTACTGATGCTGAATCTGAAAAAGCTGCTGATCAACTGAAGCAGTTGACTCAACGTCTCAAAGAAGCTACAACTGATCAGGATAGGTATGTTTCAAAATACATAAACTTAATGATAAGAAGTTATGTTTTAGAATGGAATTGTTGAATATGATAAAGCAGAGTCCAGAACACTTTCCTGAACTGCTGAAGATAACGAAAGCAATGAATTTTTGTGTAGGAGGTCTAAGAAGTGATGATGAAAATAATTTTTTTTTATAGCCGCCCATGCAAATGATGAGGCTGGAACAACAAAAGAAGCAACAAGCAGCTTCCATGGAGTCTCAGTCAAACGCTATTGAAAAAGGAAATTCTTCCAACGCAACTGATTGAAAATATTTACTCAATTTATTTTTTCATCTAATTCCTTCATATATTAACTATATTATCACTTATCATTGAACAAAAAACTATTTGATCATCTTGGAAACTCTTCATTGTTAAACGAATAAATGAGATTAGATGGAGGTGGTGATGAGTGTAGTTCAATGGTCATGAATGAAGACGAGCTTTTTTAAAGCTCAATGCTTAATATAGAGACAATTCTACAGACGGTATGCAGCAGGGAATACGAAAGTAGCACGACTATGCTGATCAACATGAAGCTAACGAATAACAGAGAACGAAAGAAGCAGCTTGAGATAGGCATCTCATTCTGAAAGTTCTTTTCACTGCCTTAGTGAAATCTTGAGAATCACTTCTAATACCGAACGTGAATAGTTCATTTACGCCCTCCCTTTTCTTTCATCTGCATTAATTATGGGCTCCTTCTGTCTGAGTATATACAAAGCGAAATCAAAATTACGTGATGTGGAACGTTTTTATTGTAAATTGGTCTACTCGAGGTGTCTCATTGCCAATTCTCAAATAATATTTCGAAACATAATTATTACCTTAAGTACACACATGTTGAGACAATTTCATATACATACATAATCTGTCAATGTGAATGAAAATAAACTTTCAATACCAGATGCTTCATCGAAGACAACTCTTTTTGCAATTTGATAATATGAAGTGAAGCTCATTTGATCGAAAACGTTTGATCTCAAATAAAAAGCGGATCTGATTTGAAGTTACTGAAAAGCTTTTATCTCTTCTATCCTTATTCAGCCAGCCTTATCAAATAAGCTTTTGAGCAAAGAACAATGCTCTCAATGATCAAAAAGTATATATCTGAGCATTAAATCTGAATTGAAGGATAGACTAACCATGAGGTCACTCTATGCTCTCTGTTATTACTAAACCTATTCATTAATTGTTTTAATTATCAGTAGTGTAGTGAACGAAGACATGCTGCATACTAAAGAAATAAGGTCCAATAGGCTCAGGATTACCCATAACAGACATAGAAGTGCACACATCAGTAACACCTGCTATTATTCTCCAACTCCAGCGCCTGAAACAGATGTAGCCCAATCGTACAGTTTCTGAAGAAGACGATATAAAACTTATGCTCAGTACATTACCATGATCTTTGTCAAGTTCTATACAATTCTGATAGTTTTTGCAATTTTCAAGAAAGCCTGAATATATTTTCTGCGTACGTATATAGAGTTTTACACACTTCTCATATCTGAACCATATGAGTTCAAGATGCTTCTAGGCAGATCAAAAACATTCTAAGTGATGTTCAAATGAGGTGATTCTAGTTAAGACCTATTCTTGAGTAAATTATACTTCATCGTAGACGGAGGTTATAAAGAGGCGATATGAACTTGGTACACTAAGACCGTTTCCGATTCCTGAGAAAGCTGATTATTAAGGAAGTGGAGACATAACAGGTATTTTTAGCTTTGCGGTAGCAAGATAAAAAGTACATAGACATGACGCTTTTTCTTTTCCTATTTCAAACAAGGTACATGGGTTTCCTGTTTACTGTTGATGTGATGTGTTTTCAGTGAAGGCGTGTTCCTTCATCGAGCTCACAGTGGAGTTCTTGGAAAGCTATTGTTCTCTGCTCCTGCGATGTCATTACTGCCGGATTTTGTCATCCTGGAGGATTTTCAGCCATGTACAATCAGTTTTATTATACAAAAGTTTGAATACAAACTGAAGTATGTTTGTCTCCGAGTTCTAATTGGGAACATCGTTCGATATACAAGAAAATCTCTGTCTAGAAAGACACTCTCTGGATAGCATAGAGCTAACCTATATTTCCATAATGCAGGCTTTCATCGACCTGTCTTTAGAAGTAAATACACACATACATATATCTTTATCAAAACCATCCGTTTTAGGTACAAAAAAGTACTTCCGCTTGATTTATCTATTCACTAGATACTCGCCATTTTCGTCATTTCCTGGCGCGTCATCTATAAGTTCTACCTTATTGGTCAATTACGATAATTCTCCAGTATTAAGAAGATCTGTGAAGCCGTCCATGTCTATCTGTTTCTTCATCTGTAATGCACTGTTTGAGACCATGATGCTTTATGCTTGTACGAATTTTTGTATGCTTCAATCACATCAATATCATCTCAGTGCCAAAATTTGTTTGAACATAACCGAATAAAAAAAACGGATGTCTGTTTCCACATGAAGAACTGACCACAGAAGGAAGTAAAGAAGTTTTTCCAAACCTCATTCTTCAAACTTATAAGGACTAACACGTACAGTCATGGACAAAATAGTTTGGCACCTATGACTCGAGAAAAAAAATGATGGGTGCCAAACTATTATGTCCACGTACAGTAGTGGCAAGTGATTTTCGTCACCCCCCTTAAAACCACTTTTTTTGTGACGGAAATTTGCCACGACTGTATGATCCAGGAACGATCTCCTAAACTCAGTAAGACTAACTGAGCTCAGGCTTTCAGAATCCTATTCGGTTTGGAGCAAGGCAACTGCTCTGATACTTCAACCACTGAATGAATTGTGGAAAATTATAATATCCCGTATAAGAATCTTTCTGAAGTTCTTAGTTAAATTAAACGAACATGCGAACAGCTACCCATTATAATGTTTTGAATTGCATCGTGCTCTGCAGGCTCTACCCTTTGCAGTAGAAAAGTGAGGAGTGTTAAGTTACCTAGTGAAAGCAATCATCATAGTATATTCTGAAAGCTATATTGAGCTATGTTAATTATATGTTATATTGAAATTCTATAAGGAACTGTTCTAAGTAGCATAAAAAGATTTTTGTTTGTTGGACTTGACTGCTAGAGTATTCTGGCTATTTGTGGAAACAATGAAAGATCTCATTGGAGCAGTTATTTTCTATTTTTTATTTCTTTCTCTCTTCACATGTATAATTTATATTTAATAAAAATTGGTGAAAAAAATGATGGCTTTTGTTGACATTGACCGGTGACATGAGCGAATTGATGTATTCTCCACATTTTTTCGTTTTCATCTGAAATTTTAATGAATTTGCCTTCTATGGCATAAGAGTGAGAAAAAAAGAAAGAGAGAGAGAGAAAGAGATAGTAGTTTGAGGTTTATTGGATATGTTACCGAAGACGACAGGAAGATGGTTGACTGAGGAAACAAAAAAAATGAAAAAGATGAGGAGGAGAAGACGGATTTAGGATGGGGGGTGAGAAACAGATGTGGCATGAAAGCTGAGAATGGATAAAATAGGAGAACATGATGAAGATCATCAGAGGATTAGAGAGAATGAGAGAAAAGAGGAAGTAATGATGAGATAGAGGGCTAAAGAGAAAGGAAACAACAGATGAATGTTTCTTTGCCATTATAGGTTCTACTTCAGTATTTTGCACAAGGAAGAGAAATGGAGAGTATGAGAGTTAAAAAGATTTTGTAGCCCTCTCAACCTGTATTCAGATTTTGTAAATAAGAAATACAAAATATAATCATATATATTCGTATAATTATAGTATTGTTCCTTCTTTTTTTCGTATTCGTAGCTGTAGCTCTCTTCAATGCTTGTTGTTCGTACAGTTTGTTCCTATTTCAACTGACTCCGTCATCAGCCACATATTTCCCTTTCCTTTTTTGGTGCTCCAAATGCACATGTTTCATCCCATGCCCAAGAATTTCGTTCATGAGCTTCACGTTCCCATCCATGGGAATATGGACCGATCGAGTTTCCATGGATTTTATACATTTTCAAGCTTATTATTTCCATTTTACCACCTCATCCATATATTTTTGAAAGCAATACATATTCATTTCACACTTCAATTTCATTTTTCTTACTTATCTTCACCTCCTTTTTATTTTCTTTATTTAGGAATTTTAAATTTGAGAGAAAGAGAGAGTTAGTTCATTTTCATGATCATCCTACTCCATCTCCTCAGTTTCTCACCCTTCTCTCGTCCAACCCTCCTGCTCTTTCAGTTATTTTCCAAGTTTCAAATAAAACGGAAAAATGTTTGCTAAATAATTAAAATTATATGAAGCTGTTCACCCCTACCCTACCATTACCATTCAACCGAACCTTCAATCCTCAGTTATTTTACATTATGTATGATTTGGCCTTTTTGTATATCTTTCTCTCTTTCTCCCTCACTTCATCTCCATATTCTCCAGCTTCATCGTGTCGTCTCTCTATTCTTGACTCATCTTGAAATCTCAGATTTAGCGTTTAAAAATCTTTTTTTTTCTACACACTGACCATCTTCGCAACCCTTCATCAATTTTCAATCAGTCACTCAATTTATTCACGAAACCTTGAATTTCCATTTTCTTTTTTTCTCGTCGTTGAATAAGCTCAGGTTCGTCTTCAGAAATCAGCCAACCATAGAAAGAGCTTTAGAACGACCTTATGGATATCGATGCGAATGGGAGCTTCTTTCAATTGCAATTTTTTTTCCTGACGAAAGAAAAAGATGAAGGAGAACCATTAATTTCAATCTGCTCAAAGCTTGAAGCTAAACTTTGAGTTCTGCTACGAATTTCTATAGGAGAAACTAAATTATGCTAATTAGTCATAATTTGACACTTGTTTTTCTCTGCGGATGGCAATCTATGCTTTTCATGTTGAGAACGATATCTTCCCATACATATACATACATGCACATGTATATGTATATTTATAATAATACTCTTTAATTATTATAATTACTGAGATCTAGGCTTGAATCCTCTGTTAAGCTTCTTCTTCTCTGTGTTTTGCAACAAAAAAACGAAAAAAAGTTTGTTTTGTCTCAAATCAATGTGCTCTCTCTCTCTCTATTATCTCTCTCTCTCTGTATTTCTCTCTCTTAAGATTGCGGGAACTTCTTCAGTATTCATTTGTAATCTCTTATTCCACGCTATCAGTTTATGAAAAATTTAAAAAAATCTTCTAAATATATAGCATAATTAGCATAAACACGCTTTTGACGTGAAATGCTTGCTTTCGTGTAACTTTGATTCATTTCCATGATATTGCTCACGAGGTGTACGGTTGTTTGCTTTCTTTCCTCAGTTTTCCTTGTATTCTCCACCCCCTTTCGCTTCTATTTCATGTTCTCATCAGTTTACTCAAATTTTTCTCCAGGGACAGATTGCATTCGCTTCAGTTCGTAGGCGTGCTTATGTCCTTCTAAGCTTTTCATGTGATATCGGATTTTTGGGAGGGAGGATAAAAAAAAAGAGGGAAAGATGAAGAAAAAAAAGAGAGAGAGAAAGAGATTGCGCATCAGAAGGAAAGCTAGACAGAAAGTAGAACTTTTTCTTTGAGCTTCTGCCAGGCCATGCTGTTACTGTTGATGTACGAGCAGCTTGAAGCTTGCATCTTAAATTACCACGTGTCTTCTATGCTAACTTCATTAGTCAACCTATTTTCTTTTTTCTTGAATTCTCAATAGCATCCATAAGCCTTTTGTCAAGTTCCTAACTACTTTTTTTCTTTTTTTTACACTTGTGTCCATTCTTGAGTTAGAAGCTGAAATCACATTGTCTCGTATACGCATCGATGACTCAAAAAGAGCTAGGATTCTCATCTGTAGCACCTTTTTTTTTCCTTTTTTTTCTCTCATTGTCTAAGCTGTAGATTTAAGTTATAAAGCTACAACTGCAAGATGTGCCAGTCTTAAGCTGGAAAAGGAAAAGTGTAACTCGATTTGTCGCAATCAGCCAACCATTCTTTTGCTTTAACTCTCTAATTCTCTCAAGTTCACCATATAATTCGAGAATATCTTGATAGATTCTTGTTGGTAACATCTTTATTCCATTTTAACTCTTCTTTCAACAAGTTAGCTTTTAAAATACAATTCTGACATCATCTTTTACAATTTTATTTTCTTTTTATTCCAATCGTTTTAGTATTGACGGCGAGTCCGCGTTTTCAACATTTCATCGTCTTCACCTTTATAAGCTTAGTTAGTGAGAATTCAAAAATATTTTAAGTTTTGAGCATTTTCCGAATTTTCCCCGCATTCTTTCTCTCTCATACTTCTTCATCATCATCCTTTCCTTCTCTCTATCCATCTCTCACTCTTTATAAAGAGGCAATGGTGACAACTAGCATAACGACAATCTGAGCCAATTGTGTTCTTTCCGTCCCCAGCACCTCATTTGGCTTGTCGTTTCTATGGACAACCGTCTCAAAAATTCTCATCATAGTCATTGAACGGAAGAAATATATTTGCACGTTTATCTGCCATGTAATGTTTTCCAATAATAATTTCAAAAAAAAAAGAAAGATTTCAATGAGAAAAGAGAGAAAAAATTATTTTTTCCGTTTCAGCTTCTTCTAATTGATGTGGAAGTTTCGGAGAAAGAGAGAGAGAGAAGAAGGAAAGGAGAGAGAGAAAGCCTGGTTGAGAGTTGAGACTTACTGTAATATGAATCAAAGCCAATGAAAAGTATTAAAACGGCGTCTTTAGAAACAGCGTTCAAAAGAGTTTTTTCTAAATGAAATACAAAATGAATATTTTTGAATAAATTATTCTAGTGGAAAGAGAAAGTTTAGATAAACAAAAGTTATTTCAAGTTCAACAGATTGAGAGGATTTTTTTGTTGGGCGGTGTATGCCCATATGGGTGGAGAGAATAGAAGGTGCATACAGAGAGAGAGGATGAGAGGGAGGAGAAGATTGAAGGTAGCAAGTAACAACGAAGTGAGATAGAGTCAGTTGAACGAAACGACAGTAGAGTAGGAGGTGTTTTGCAATCTCTGCCTACATAATCATTTTTAACTATATATAATTATAAATTATGAAGAAGTTGGCTGTGTGTGTGTGTGTGTGTGTTTTGGAAAACTTCATTTTATCTTTATCTTAGCAAATCCCCATAGAGTAAGCGATGAAAAGTTCTTTTTCCATCTATCTTTGGGCACATGACACATACTTCTGTCAAACATATAGTCCCATGTGAATTTGTTTCTTCTATCCAACATCTTCTATACAAATTAAGTTTTCTATAAGCTTGAAGCTCCCATTTTTTTTCTTCTTCTCTTAATCTTAAAACTTCATCTAAGTTTCCCAAACTCTTTTCGCATTCTCTCAAATGGAATATTTTATTATTTTAAATTATTTCTTTCAGATTTCTTCTTCAATCTGCTTTCTCTGCTCTCTCTCTCTCTAGCGGAACAGACGTAAGTTTTCTATTTTTTTCTATTTATACCTTAAAGTTTGGAGAAAAAAAAAGTTTCTTTCTCTCTTCTTCCCTCTTAAACAATCTGTCTACGTGAGCATGATGATCAATTTATATGGTTCGAAATAAAATGAAACAATCTATCTTTTTTTTTTGAGTTAAATCAGCTTTCATAGTTTTTTTTGTCTGTCATCGTCGTCGTCGTCTGAATCCATCGTCGTTTCTGTCCATATGGGGGGAAAATATCTTCACATCGGACCTACCCCCTCGTCCCAAATTCAAGCGGCACCTGCTGGCTGCTTCATCTCTCTCGCACTCATCACAAATCTCGTTTGAAGAAGTGTTTGGAAAATTTTCTTCCAAATTTGGTTTGTGTCGTTAGATTCGTATTTGTTGCAAAAGTAACACACACTTACACGAACGAATATGTTATTTTATCGTAAATTTTGAAGGAGATTGGACAGTTGTGGGGCGAGCGGATCGGTCATGTCTATTCGTTACCGCACATTCGTGTAATGTAATAGACGGATGGGGTATTTTCCTAAAACAAAAAGAAGACGAAGACGGAAGACAGCGAAGAAAAAACTTTTTTTTCTCGTTCATCATGCTCTTCACGCGCAGACAGATAGCACTCTAAGATCATCCTGATGATGCTCATTTTGCAGGATTTAAGAAGCTTCGACTCAACTCACATTCGCATAGTAACCTTGAAGAAGCTGGGAAAACTTGAATAAGGCTGTAACTACAAGCTCTATGCTTCTTCTTCTTCGTCTTCCTCATCTTTTCGCTCGATAAGCTCCGCCCCCTATTGTGCCTTCTCCGCTTCTGGGCTGAGCCGTTGTTTCGTTTGGGCTATTTCCCTCCTTCTTCTTCGTCTCCATCATCATCATCATCATCATCATCTTCAACTAATTCTTCAGCAATTTTCCGCTGAAGACAAGCTCTATCAACAGTCCATTATATAAATCTGTGGAGAACAGTTTAGCTGATTCCTGAAAGCATTTAGTGCTGTCAGCTCATAAATAAGAGAAAAGAAGTCGTTTTACTCTATTCATAATATTTTCTATTTGTATATTCTGAATCTTCAACTATGGGCTTTAACGTGCCAATCATCAATCGAGATTCAGATATCTTGAAATCTGAGATCAAAGCATGGACGGAACAGCCAGAAAGTCAAAAAAAATTAGTTTTAGTCATTGTATCAGTAGCTCTATTATTGGATAATATGCTATATATGGTTATTGTACCTATTATTCCAAAATATCTTCGAGATATTCATGCTTATGATGTTGAATTCTATGGATATCATAATGTGACAGAACGCTTACCCAATGGAACAATCATTGTTCGACCTGTCGGAGCTAAAGTTGATTACAAAGATGAAGAGATAGCACTCGGATGGCTTTTCGCTAGTAAAGCTCTCATCCAAATAGTCGTCAATCCGTTTTCGGGATATATTATTGATCGTGTTGGATATGAGATACCCATGGTATTCGGATTGACCGTCATGTTCAGTTCAACAGCCATCTTCGCATTGGGACATTCATATGGAGTTCTATTCTTCGCTCGATCACTCCAGGTTCGTAATATTCTTTTTCTTATATTTTCATATCTATTTTTACAACTAACTAAAATAGTTATATTATTTTGAGCCAACTAAAAGATTCTTCAGCTATTTTTTACTAATGAGCAAATTTAAGTGACCCGGATGAGAGACGATTGATAGGCTTTCCACTTCCGCTTTCAATTCAAATTTTTTTTTTTGCTTTTACTCTCTCTTTTTGCAATCTCTGGAAAATCTTAAATGAAAATTGTTTTTTTTTGTTGAGAGACACAGACAAAAAAAAGAGGCACTCTATCATTTCCCTTCCCTCCTAATTAGGCAATGACTTTCAAATCAAAACTATAACTTAGCTCTGTTTTATTCTCATTGTCTGCTTCTCTTATTTTTTGCTCGTTTCAGGGACTGGGTTCTGCCTTTGCAGACACATCAGGATTGGCAATGATTGCTGATCGTTTTTCGGAAGAAAATGAAAGATCGGCTGCCCTTGGAATAGCATTGGCTTTTATTTCGTTTGGATGTCTTGTTGCTCCGCCATTCGGCTCCGTACTTTATTCATTGGCTGGAAAACCTGTGCCATTCTTAATTTTGGCTTTTGTGTGTCTAGCAGATGCCTTAGCCGTCTTCATGGTTATACAGCCTGGAAAGAGAACACCAACATCAGCAAGTGGCGAGAAAATACAAGGAACACCAATGTGGCGTCTATTTATGGATCCAATGATTGCTGTCTGCTCAGGAGCATTAATTATGGCAAATGTATCATTAGCATTTCTTGAACCAACCATAACGACATGGATGGCTGAAACAATGCCAGATACACCCGGATGGTTAGTAGGAATGATTTGGTTACCAGCATTCTTCCCTCACGTTCTGGGAGTATATGTGACTGTGAAGTTGTTGAAAAGTTATCCAAGCCATACATATATGATAGCTGCTATAGGATTAGCAATGGAGGGATTGTCATGCGCCATCGTTCCATATACAGGAAGTGTCTTACAACTCATTGTTCCATTAAGTTTCACATGTTTTGGAATAGCATTAATTGATACGTCATTATTGCCAATGTTGGGTCATCTTGTAGATACTCGTCATGTATCCGTATACGGATCTGTGTATGCCATTGCTGATATCTCATACTCATTAGCTTACGCATTTGGACCCATAATAGCTGGATGGATAGTTACCAATATGTCATTTACTGCACTAAACTATATTATATGTTTTACTAATTTGGCATATTGTCCCGTCTTATGGATTCTTCGCAAAGTTCACGGTTACGACAATTTGGAGCAAAAACCTGATCAAACACAATCAATTGAAGCTTCTTCATCAATCTCTTATCAAACATCTTCTGCAACTCAACAACAATCCTTAACAAATGGCTCAACAGCAGCACCAATTCCATCCCAAGCTGGATATGGAGGAACTCAATATCAATATCCATCTGGATATGATCCTCTAAATCCACAATGGTAGCATTTCTTTCCATTCCCTCCACCCCCTTCTTCACCTCACCAACATGCAAACACACGATTGATTAATGTTTTATTTATTTATATTTATTATAATTATAATAGTAATTAGTAAAGTATGAGCCATATATGAAATATATATTGATCATCAACAGATTACCTTAAGAGAATCAGAAGAAGCAGAGCAAGATGCTTGAGGTACAAGAGAAAAGAAAAAAAAACTTCTTTTTTCATTGTACACCTCCATCATCTCCAGTTTTATGTACAGAAATTTGAATAAATATTAAAAAATATTTTTAATTTTCAAGGAAAACATGACAAATGAAAGTTGCTGTGATGAATGGTATGAGGTTGGTTAACGTTTACTTCTTAGACACATACACATACACATAGTACTAGTCTTACCACCCTACATCCTTAACCATTTAATTAACTAAAATGATGTTTAACTACTTACCATAAATGGGCTTCATCATCCTTCTTCTTCTTTTCCAAATGCTTTTTTATGTCTTTTCTTCGAAAGCTTTACTTACAATTTTCTTTTGCTCCCAAAAATATACATATACGAAATCTTTAAGAAAAAGTTCATTCAGACAGATAAGAAGGTGTTGATGAGATTGAGAGAGAGGAAGAATAAGAGAGAAAGCTGACACATAGAGATTGAGAAAATGAAAAAGAGAGACGCCGCATGTCCCAAGGGAATTTGTTGCCCATTAAGGGCTTGTCTTATCAAATACCGCTTTTGTCATTTACTTAATCTACTATAATTAACCTCTCGCATCTCTGATCCTCTTCACTTGCCTTATGTCTTGTCAGCTTATTTCTTCTTCCTCCCCCCCCCACCACCCTTTTGGAACAGATTCAATTTCTTCAAAATCTCACAAATGTTACAGAAAAAAAGTATCAAATTCTGCTCTTCTTTTTATTCTCTTCATACATCATCATACAATTGCTAGAGCAATGTGATAGAGAATGTTAGGAGAGGAAGCTTATGGCAAGAGCATTTGTCCAATTAAGGAATAACAAACACATACATGACACGCCAAGCTCTTCTCATTCAATTTTTCATTTCGAACTTTCAAAAAAAACTATAAAATGGACCAAGAAATTAACTTTAATTTACAAACAGACTAACACAAATTAAGAGAGGACAGAGAAAAAAAGTGTTTTAAGATGGCCATCTACCCCCCACACCCTCTCTCCTTCTCTCTCTCTCTCTCTCTCTCCCTGTTCAGTTCAGTTCTTCGTCACCCTGACCAGAGCTCCTGTTGTTGGGCCATTTTCGAGAGTTGGAATTTCTGTGTGTGGAAGAATCCTCTGACAAAAAAAAACGAACACATGTTTTCATCTATTAGAAAACAAATATTTCATTTGACTAATAAATTACAACGTCACTATCTTGTAACGGATGTGAAGACGGTTAAGGTAATCCGTCTTTTCGTCTCTTTGAGTGTTGTGTTGTCTCCCAAATGAAAGGAAGAAGAAAAGTTTTTTGTCCAAACTATCTATTGTGTAATATTTTTTTTATGGCTATGTATGCTTCTGTTTTTTCAGAGAAAGTTACCGAAACCGCCAGTTCCAGCATTAAATGATACTCTCGATCGTTACTTAGAATATGCAGCTGTGGTTGCTGCTGGACAATCAAAGTATCCTCATTGTTTCATTTTTATCTTTAATTTCTCAACCTATTTTCAGATCGTTACATGGAACTCATGAAGCTGTCGAAAAATTCCGTGTTGTAGGCCAGAAATATCAGAAGAAGCTCGAAGAAATAGCTGACAATGAAATTAATTGGGTAATCTATGAGGCCTAGTGAAGCAATCAGAATTGTTTTTTTTCTGTTTAGGTTAATCGATTTTGGTTACCAGAAATGTATCTGAAAGTTCCTTTACCCCTCCCTGTCAACTCTAACCCTGCTTATATCTTTCCTGAGCAGAAGTTTGAGAAGCCCGGAGATATGTTGAGATATGCATCTCTTCTCATACGTGGTATTGTTGACTACAAAAATGGAATTGATAAGTGAGTTTTGGAAGATCTCCCATCAAGCCACATTAAATCCATTCCAGGAAACTAGTAGATCGAGAAATATCAACAGGTAAGCAGAAAGTGCATCTATGTATGGATCAATATGAACGAATACTCGGATGTTACAGGTATATCCATACAGTGAGATAAACTAAAAAAGAAATGACTCATTCAGAGAGCCGGGACATACTGAAGATCGTCAAATTCGGAAGAATAAAAATGACAATGGGACGGAGCATGTTATCGTTATGTCGGACAATCAAGCTTTTGTGGTCTTCACTCGTTGGATGGGAGACCTTCTTCCATTTGCTGATATCAACTATCAGTTAGAAGAAGTTGTGAAGAAATCGAAAATTCGGAGAGATTTGGCGGTCCCAATCGGTGGAATTACATCTGGTAGTCGTCCCATAGCCGCTGAGTTCTGGAGGAGAATGAGGGAAGGTACGGCGTTCACACCTTCAACGTTATCAAGAGCGTACAACTTTAGTTGATGTTAACTGTTTGTCACTGTCCTGGATTCAAAATGCTTTATTCATCGTGTGCTTGGATGAGGAAAATGAATTGAATAACAATAATGACGAAGAGTCTAAGAAGAAGTCAACCTTATCTGATCGAGGGAAACATCTTCTGACTGGAAATGGAAGTTCAAAATTTGGTTTCAATCGATGGTATGATGCAACAATCCAAGTAAGAAAAAAAGCAAAGAAATACTTTCTTAATGAATTACATTAAGTTAATTGTCTGTTCGAATGGTACAAGTGGTTTTTGTATTGAACACTCCGTAGCTGAAGGAATTGTTATAATCAATATGGCTGAGAGTGCTTTGAAACATCTTCATGAGAATTGGAATCGAAAAATTGTATTTTCTGAATTTTACTTCAGTTTTTCTATCTATATGTTCCAGATTTCTCAGAAGGAACGCAATTTCCAGCCAAAACCGCTGACATGGCATGTCGGAGTGGACGAACAGAACATGATTGAAGAACAACGAGTCATATTTGACAAGTACGCATGTTAATCTTCTGACACTTGTTTAACGAATCATTCAGACTTTCAAATGATTTAGACTTGGATGTATTGGAATTCAATGATTTTGGTAAAAATTTCATTAAGAAATGTGGTGTCAGCCCAGATGGCTTCATTCAACTGGCCATGCAACTCGCACATTTCAGGTTGGGGTTGTCAACAGTTATATTGATAGTTTATTGATCCTACTTCTAGAACTCATGGATATTTAGTTTCCACCTATGAATCCGCTTCATTAAGACGATTCGGTTTTGGAAGAGTTGATAATATTCGAGCAAATACTCAGGAAGCATTAGAATGGGTGACTTCGATGGTCCGAAAAGATGTTCCGAAAGAAAAACAAATTGAATTATTGCGAAAAGCCGCAGCTAAACAAGCACAAGTAACATCTGAGGTAATTGAAAAATGAATTAACAAAATAAATGTGTGTAAATTACATTTACAACCTTCAGAATATATCTGGATTGGGTATCGACAATCATTTGTGTGCTCTGAATGTATTAGCTAGGGATGATGATAACACTCCCGAAATCTTTTCTGATCCTCTCTGGAAAGACATAATGCGATTTCCATTATCGACAAGTCAGGTAAACAAGTTTATTAACAATATGTATATCTATATGTTTAAATATATATATAATAAATATAATTATTTAATTATGTGATTATAGGTTACAACAAGTTCGTCAATAAAGGATACTTACCTATGCTATGGAGCTGTAGTAGATGATGGCTATGGATGTGCATATAATTTGCAGGACTCCTTTGTTATATTTGCCCCTTCAGCTTTTAAATCAAACGAAAGAACTAGTATGTTTAAATTTAAGAAAGCTTTATGTGAAGCTATGAAAGATATGAAAATATTATTATCTTCTCCTTAGCTATTAACTATTTTATTTACTTGCATTGGAACGCAATTAGATGGTTGCCTAGCAACACATAATTTATTATTTTTAAGTTATTTTTTTCTTTGTCTTGAATACTGTAATTCAAAAAATAAAAAGAATTGAAATAAAAAAAAAGGAATTTGAGAAACAACCGTTCTGTGCTATTGCTATACACTTTAAATGGTTATTTTTTCGCTCATTAACTGCTTCACGTAAGAGCCACGTGAAATATTTAAATGGGGAGTTGGCATATGCTAATCTGGGTTTTCTCTCATTTCATACAGTGAATGTGGTATCTAGTAAGCTTTTCCTTTCATCCTCTATTCCTGGAGCAAATGATGTTCTGCCTGGTCGAGTAGCTCCTTGAGCTGCTAAAACCGCTGGAACGCTATGAACTGAGATTGCGGTGGGATCAGCGTCGATCATCTGCTTTATTACATTTTTTTAGATCTTTGATATAAATATTATCAGTTCTTACCTGCATAGGTAAGCGAGCTGCCTCTATGATGCTGCGGGTTCCATTTGCATGAAAAGGTGTACCTCCCTGAGGACTATTCAATATATCTTCAGAGCTTTTTTTTCTAGTTTGCTTAGATAAACAATCACTTACGAATATCTTCCCGGATCTGCCTGATAAGCTCTTCCGTATCAGCTTCAACCAAAGAATCTTTTGTCAAATGATGAATGATTCCTGCTCCGAAACCATCTCCGAGAACATTGACCGATGTACGTATGCGATCACTACAAATGAAGATGAACTTCAATTTGGTTACATAATAGTTAAACTCACAGAAGCCAATCAACAGTTAATAAGAGACTCAAATCCTTAGCTGGTAACCCTACAGTCGTTAAAACAATCAAAATGGTGTCAAGACCTGCAGGAACAGAACCGGAGCCAATAGAAGCCACAGTGGTCGTCACACTGATCGAGAGAGGAATAACAAAAACAATACTAGTCTTTTTATAAACCTTATAGTTAACAAATCTAGCAACCCAAGCTCGATGTTATGCAACTGGGCTATGAAGATAACAGCCACAGCTTCGTATAAGGCTGTTCCATCCTGAAACATGGAATATGTACCCAGTTCCCATCTGTTCTCTCTACCATAGTGATTGTAGCTCCTAATGGTAAAACAAACCGAGTAACTCTCCTATCAATTTTTAGGACGTCTTCCAATGCTCGGAAAGTCACAGGCAAGGTTGCACTACTATAATTGGGAATAGATCATTATGAATATGGGGTAGACACGGTTAACCTTGAAGCAGTACCAAAGGCAGTAGCTAAGGCTTGTAACATTCCAGTCATGTAAGCGAAAGGACTTTTTCTGGTAACCATAAAATACAGTAAAGGTAGGGTCAATAGCGAATGAATCATTAATCCACAAATGACAGTTACAACATACATAGCCAAAGCTTCAAATCATCCGTTTAGACAACCTCTGTCACTCATCTCTATGTACCTTGAGCTGTTTCTGTTAAGTTGTCGATATCAACAATGTTCTTGCATACGAGAGATAGAATGCCAATAGGATAACACCTTAATCTTCAAATCCAATTGTGTTATATGTTGTACAAACCACATAAGGGCAGAAATCCATCTCATGATGATAGCATCAAGAACAATGAAGAAATTTATCATTAATCTTGCTTGATCTCCCAAGACACTCAGAATAACACCAAATCCACTGCAGAAGACAATTAAGCCTTGAATGAACAATGATAACCATAATCAATCAGCATATAATACCAAGAACATTCATTTCACTCGTGTACATAAGCTGAGGCTTTTGTGAAATCATTGTGCTGTTGAGCAAAGTGCCGTTAGCATTCTGCATTTGCCACGTCTTCTTTGGAACATAATAGGTTTGAACTTGTTGAAAAGTTGCTTGAATAATGTTTTCCGGGAACATGTTTCTGTTTTGATATATTGATTCATATGAAAGAAGAATAAGAACGGAAACCTTATTTGGTCAAGAAATGTGTCGAGGGTGGATAAAGCTGTGTTTTCTAATGTTCCACTGCCCAATGAATGAATCATGTCTGGATCACCGGGATGAATTGATTTCACCAAAATTATTCCTGTCTGGAACACTATCATCACTTTTTCTAATCAATAGTGAATTACGAATGTTGACAGAAATGTTGTTGTCATATAGTAGATAACGGTAACTATGCCAATACGCCGAGCATCCTTTGCCCTGACTTGAGCTAAGGCTGAAACAAATTTTACAGGGTTATAAGCATTCAACAGTATTCTCTTTGAAGGTACCTGAGATAACAGATGATATGATGAGAGGCAAAATCATCATTTCAACTATTTGCATGAAAATCTCTCCTGGAAATCCAATGAGACTGATAGTATCATTACTGAAATGGCATGTTCAAACAGATATACATGGATAAGATGAAACCTGGGATTGAATGGTCGGATAACGAATCCCAAAACAACTCCCAGAACTACAGATTCAATAGTTAAAACGAGCAACAGGTCTTTCTTCATTCCCATAACTACAACAATTTTAATAAAACAGAACACTCTAAAGAGAAATGCAAAATGAAAATGTTACAGTCAAGGTTGTCCTTCCTCTTCTCTATCAGCCACTCCACCTCTCCGACAGGATCGCTGTGCTAGCGTCATAAGACCCCATCCCCTCTCAATACGATTACTTACTTTGCATTCATTAACAGAATAAAATATGATTTTTATTCTCCCAAATATGGTAGAACAAATATATTTTCGTATACTTTTCAACAAATGAAACAACATTCAGATAAGAGCTCCGTACATTCAGCTTCGGTTTCTCCATTCTGAAGACGTTCTGTCGTGTTACGAAACTTTTTTCGTTTTCTTTCCGAAAACCATCGACCCATTGCCTTAAATGAGATAATTCTTTTCTTTTTCATTTTTTTCATTTCAACGAACTTTGTACATTTTCATCGTTCCGACGACATTAGCCATGCGACCAGCCATCGTCATGAACATCATGATGACGGAATTCGGTTCAACAAGAGGCTCACCATCAGTTAATGTTGAATTGAGAGAAATCCCTTCAAAACAGATTGTCAATGAGTACATGGAAAACAAATGAGACAGAAAGAGTTGTACAAGAAGTGAGAAAGTACATACAGTCATGGCTATACAGTCATGGCGATGGATTTTCGTCACCCCTCTCCCCCACTCTCTCAGAAAACTTGGAAAAACGTCTGTTTTCGAGTTTCTTTTCTATTTCTTGTAAACCCTCTCACTCTTTCTCTCTCATCATAAGGGACAAAAATGAGATACAGATACATAGGACATTCATGTAACAAGGAAGTATAGTAGAAAGAGCAGGTGAGAGAGAGATGAGTGAAGAACTACCTGCTTCTATAAATCTCCTCTGTATAGATGACTCAATGACATCTTTATCCAATTGTGCTTTCATAAGAAGCATGATAGCTCCAAAAATATTTAAAATTAGACCATAAAAGAACAATTCCCAACATCCTAAATGATGATGTTAAGTATTCAAATGAAACTGTTTACATTCGAATGATAGAAGAATGAACTAACCTGGCTTACGTCGATTATGCTTAAAGACAATCCACTTCTCTTTCCAACTTATATTAGCGTATTGTTTTCTTCGTAGTTTACGAGTATTTCTACTCATCTTGAGGTATACAATTGGGAAAAAAAGAAAATCAATAACATAGAAGTCTTATATGGTATAGCTAAGCTCTAATCTGAATATATAATGAGGAGAAAATCCGTAATCTATTATGAAAAAGATTTTTTTTGTCTTATTCTCATCAAGTTGATCTAGATGGATTGAGATTACTGGAAGTATTTTGTGAATTTTCGACTGTCCCAACAACATTTGCTGTAATCATATGCTATCTATGCGTTTCGAGAACAATAAGTTTACATTGAAGATGAAGCTTTGTAAAAATGAAAGTACGAAACGGCTCATTGACCATCAACATCGTTATTGTACTCACAAGTCCATGGCATGATAAGATTATATAAAGTATGGTTGCTAGATCTATCAAATAATTAATTTTAACTATATCATATAAAAATAATGAAAAAACAACAATATAATACCTTGATATCCATATATCTGATAAAAAAATAAATTAATGATGAAAAAAGCTGGGATAATTAAAATAATTGCTGGAATCCAAACCTAACAGATATGTTTATATGCTAATATCTTATATCTTAACTATCACATATAGTTACCTGAATATTTAATGTTATCAGAAACTTTATTTGTAATCGTTTAGTTTCTGCAGATATGAAACTTCCCGTGCCATTAATAATCCATGAAATATGAATAACTTGAAATGAAGTTAACAATATGCCTTCAAGGTAAACTTTCATTACTTACTCCCACATTGTCTCTTTTTCTCTCTCTCTCTCTCTCTCTCTCTCTCTCTCTCTCTCTCTCTCTCTCTCTCTGTCTTCGATCCTTTCTCTGTTTTTCTGCTTTTCTCCCTCCCTCTATCTCGTTTGTTGTTTTTTCTTTTCATTTGAATGAATGATACCAATTGTCATTTGTACAGCGAACATGGGCATTATGTTATGAGTTTCTTCTGAAACTCCCATTCCCATCCCGGGTAAATCTATTAGAGGAAGCAGACACGTATAGTTCTTCAAATGACAAATCAATATGCAAATTCTCCTAAACACTAACCTTAAATGAAATTTTTGCTTTTTCATTATCATGAAATATTGCAATTCGCAAATTAAAATATAAAACGGGAATCATTATCCAACAATATGTGAAAATAACGTAAAATCTATAACATCAATGACGACACAGTCTAATCTTCTTTAAGTTGGAGGTGTGCTCGTTGTGACGCGCAAGCCTTTAATCATTTTTTTTTTGAATATAAAATAAACGATAGAAAGAACAGTTAAGTTTGAAAGTGAGCAAAAAACAAGAAAGATATGCGAATGTTGTTGAAGCAGTTTTCAATTGATGAAAAAGAAACCTAGTAGTCTTTGGGCTCAGTGATAGGAAATGACCCTCCGGCAATAACACTTGCCAACGATAGAAATATAACAAGTGTACAGAAGCTAGTACACCAGCTATCATACTAAACTGTATGGCTGTCTGATAAAGTGGCAAATAGTTGTAAAACTGTATGAGACCATGACAAAGACCCACTGTGAATGGGAAAAAGAGTTCTGCAACCTGAAAAGCACAAGGAAAGAGGGAATTTAAAAAAGGATATAAATTGATTAACATTCAGAAAGAAAGAATGAAAGTCTAATAGTGAGACGGCAAGATGATTTCCAAGCAGGTACCAACGGTAGTCTTTCATCGGAATAGTCGATTTGTCTATTATGATATAAGCAGCAACTATGTTTATAGGTAATGTTATGCATCCGAATGAATAGAATGTGATGGGCAACCAAGTTCGGTTCAAATCAAACGGTGGACACTCGATCATTAGTTCTGCAACAGCTATGACTAAGGGTCGTTTATAACAATTTGTGAATCATTTATTAGACTACTATAATAATACATCATAATACATTATTCAGTTTTTCTTGTATTTATTAATGAATACGACCGTAGTATCTAGTTTCTGTACAGCACAGTCGAATACTTCTTTCTTTTGAGCAGCCTTGATTGCTGCAACAACCTGAAATTAAAGCATTTGATTTACTTTCTTCAGACATCCACTAACTTTCTCAGCGTTGATTTTTGTCAATAGTGGACAGAGAGCTTCAAAAAGAGATTTTTTGACTTCTGCAGGATTGCATTTAGCCTTATCTGCCGCTTTCTTCAGTTTGTTATAATCGCTTTGGAATTTTTCAAGAAGGGCTTTTGAAATCACGGGGACCTCTTTCTCTATGGTGGTTCCTTGTTTTTTTAGACACCCTGTATAGTCATTTAAAATAGGCATGAGCATTAACGCTGATGGACCGGCAGCATTCTTCAAAATGATGCTTTTAAATTCTGAAAAATGTTGTTTGTTTCTTCAAATACATATAACAAGGATTGAATAAACCTTTTGCCATCTGCTCATTTGATTTTTTCTGGCAGAGCATCACTCCTACCTCAGAGATAACCTAAACATAATGATAGTTTTGTAAATCAAATTTAAAAAATACGTTATCGAGAGGTTTTTCTTGAAAAACTTTTGAAAAGTGACATCTGATAGCTTCGTTACTATCTTTAACTGCGTTTCCACATTTTGGCGGTAGATCTGCACAACTAGACACTCCATCTAGTATTAAAGAAAAGACGAAAGGAAAACATATAATAGCTTTCCACATGGCAGACAAATAGAGAATTCAAATTTGAAACTCAGCCTTCATTCAAAAAAGCCTTATAAGCTCTTTAAATTAGATTATTTGGACAAAAAACGTCTTTGTTTTCATCTCTTATCAGTCAACATATCATTTTGTACCTCTTTTTCATTTACAAAAATATTTATTTTATTCTGAATGGTTTATTCAAGAAAAAAATCTTTGTCAAATGACTGAAAGGGTTTTCTATACGACTGCAGCTTGTAAGTATACATCAATAGATATCTGATTTACTTGGAATGGATCGCTTCACCAGCGTTGCTGAGAGCATCTCCTACAAAAACTTATTTTGAGAAAAAGTTTAGAATATCAATTGCATACCAATTGTGTCTCCTGTTTTAACAATGCCATGCTTTACAGTGTCGGCGGCATCAGCTAAAGCAGTCACTTCACAAGGGTTTATAATCTCACATCTAACCTGTTTTCTCTCCTATAGTTTCTCCAGCCGAAACAATTCCATCTTTAACTGCGACAGCTGCTTCTCCTGAACATTGATGTTTTTCTTTTTTTTTAATTAAAAATATTCACCTGTTTTTGTGATAGCGCTAGAACCAGTCTCTTTTAGAAAACCATATGTTTCAGCTAAAAAGTTATATTTAGAAAAGGATTTCATGGCTTATCAAACAAGCAGCATCTCCAACAGCGTTTCCGGCACTAACAGCTCCATCTTTGACAGCTGTGGCTGCATCTCCAACAACCTCACCAGCTTTTTCGACTCCACTCTTAACAGCACTTCCAGCATCACCTAAGTTCATCTAATCATTGTATCTCGTTTTTTCACACATCGACAAACTCATCACACCCCCAACTGCTTCTCCAGCGGATACAACTCCATCTTTCACAGCTCCAGCGGCATCAGCTTTAAGGAAGTTTATTTATTATGAAGTATGATAAAAATATTACAAGCTAAGTTAGCGGCTCCTTCTGCTGTATGCTTAGCACCTTCTGCCAAAGAATGAGCTCCATCTGCTGAAAAATGAGAAAACCGATAGTGCGTGAATAACGCTTAGAAGTCTTACAAATTTTCTCTCCTGCAGCAACAACACCATCTTTGGCTACTCCATAAGCTTTGCCTGAAAGCGAACTAGTTTCCCTCGTTTCTCCAAATGACTTACTAGCTGTATCTCCAATTGCATGACCAGCTGACACTACGCCGTCTTTAACTGCATCAGAGGCTCGTCCTTAAGAAGTAAACGATTTCGAGC